AGGAAGTATAACTATTATAAAAAAGTATACTAAAAAATAGGAAAAGTAAGGCTATTAGCTATTAAAAAATATAAATATTATAATAAACTATAATTTTACTTTCTTTATCTTTAACTTATTCTAGATTATAGTTATATATAATTCTTTACCTAAATTATATACTAATTAAATAAGCTAGTTTAGCTCTATATTACTATCTAATTCTTAAAGATCCTTAACTACTTATTTAATATTAATTATACCTAGAATAATATAATAATATATATACTCTTTCTATATACTCTTTAAGGTATATAAAGTAGTTTAATTTAAGGTTAAATACTCCTTTATAGCTAATAAAGAGCTTTAAAGTATACCTCTTTTACCTCTTTATTCTTAAAAGATACTTCTTAACCCTTATAACCTTAGTATAAGTATTAAAGTATACTTAAAAAGGCTATCTTTATTATCTTTAGCCTTATTATTATTATTATTATCCCTTTTAGTATTAATATTATTATTACTACTATTAATAGCTATTAAGAGATATAAATTCTATACTAATAGTATTTTAAAGTTTACTCTCTTTTCTTTCTTTATTAATAATAGCCTCTTTATTAATACTATTTAAACTACCTTTATTAGCCTTATTAGCCTTATTATTAATTAATATATCTTTATTAATAATAAACTATTAATTCTATTTTTAGTAAGTTATTTAAATAAATTAATTATTAACTATATTTATATAGAATATCTTTTATTAACTATTAAAAGTTATATTAAAGCTATATAATATACCTATTTTAATAATCTTATTACTTATCTAGCTATATACTTTAATAACCTTAAGAATATTAATATTATTAATATTAAAAGTATTATTATTATTATTTAAAATTATATTAGATATTAATTTAGCCTTTAAGAAGATTAATTAAAGCTTTTAAAAGTCTTTATATTTTACTTAAATATTATTAATTATAAATAGCTATCTTAAGAAGTTTATTTAAAGCTTATTAATAATTAATTAGAATACTAATTTAAGTAATTAAACCTTTATAGTATTAAAAAGGTTATTATACCTTACCTTTAATAATAAAAAGAATAAATATATTATTTTTAAGCTTCTTTATTATAAAACTATTTATTTTAAGTATAATATAATTATTAAAGGTAGTATTTTAATAATAGCTACTATAGAATTATATAAAGAATATATATTAAAAAAAGCCTAATTAAATAACCTTTAATAAAAGTAATAAGTAAATTCCCCTTACTATAGGTAGTAGAATTAGGGTAGATTTAGGCTAATATAGAGTAGAATAGTATACTAGTAATCTCTCTACTATATAGGCTAATAAAACGTACTAAGTAACTAAGTTATATAGTTAGAAAAAAAACTTAGCATCTAGGCATTAGGCACCATCACATGCATCAAACCCGGCAGGATGGCCGAGAAATGGCGCCTAGCAGTGTTATCGCGTCATAATAGTCTTCGACCAAGGGTAAGAATCTCCAAGCGACTTATAATTATAATCAGTAACTTACCATAGAAGACACAAGAACTGCTGGGAAACGTCTTGGTGAACGTATGACCACGACCGAATACCAGAAAAAGTTCGGGTTATGCAATTGCAGGCATTATTGTTAGTGGGGGTAACATGTTTAGTCACGTGATTGAGCAGCACATGAGCTCCACGCCTAAGGCCAGCATTGTGCCCCTCACCAAATGCCCCGCGAACAAGCTTGAACAAAATATATATTTGCTGATCGTGGGCAGCGTAAATGCCTCTGCCGCCTAAGAGACACGGCGAAGGTTAGAACACTGCTAAAACCATCATGATGAGTCCAGCAGTTGAGATTTCCAAGCTTGACGCGATAGAGGAGGAGTACTTGCGCAACTTGCTAAATTACACTGAGCAACACCCCGAAGGATGGACCCTGAAGCCTAACAGTACGCATGAGTACTCCCACGAAGACATTCGACCCATTATCCAGCCTATCATTCAAAAAGTACGTGCATTATTCCCATATTGGTGATGTGTTCTGACATTTTATTAAAGGATAAAAAAAAAATCCTCATTCGCATTACCGGAGACTCGAGAAATTTACGGTACTACTTCGAGGTTGGCGATCTGATACCGATTGCAGGCGAACGATACACAATATCTGATGGGCAGGGAAAAGTCAAGCTTGAACTCGGCGAGAAAGGGCATATTGTACAGAGAGTCGGTGTGCAAGTTCAGGAAAATTGTACATTATACCTGCTTTGGGTAGTCAACATGAAGTAGATTTCTTTCAGCCGCGTCCTCCAACGGGTAGTATACGTCTAACAAAATGTTGTGGATGTACATCAGTATGGCATCCGTTGGGCGGAGGTTCAGATTCTGCATTGCCACCTGAGTCGTTTGCATATCCATCACTAGAGTGGTGCATATCCCGTGGCATGAGACCGATAGAAGA